TGCACCATGGGCTCGGCCCTAAAGAACAGTTTAACCCCAAGGTCAAAAGTTCAGATCCCTCCCCCACCCCGCCACCAAACAAAAAAAAAAAAAAAAAAGACACACATATAAAAGATAGGTGTATATATGGACAAGGCCCTAAGGAAGACTTCTTGGAGCGGGTGGGTACTGAGGGGTAAACAGGAGTTCTCTAGTCCAACAAGGCAAATAAATGCCTTGAATACTTACAGAGGAAGCCAGAAAGATCACATGTTTGGAGAACTTTAAGTATTCTAGCGTGTCTGGTGTCTGCAGTATAGGTCCTTAATGGGAAGAGGTGGAAGATGAGGCAGGAAAGATGGATAAGGTCCAGTGCAAAAAAAAGTTTGGATTTTATCCTTTAGGTGGTGAGAATTATTGGAGGATTTAAAGGGGAACATGATTAGATTTACATTTCAGAGAGACCACAGTGCATGGTGAAGTAGGAGCTGGGGAGGGAGAGGCAAAGGCAGGTGGGAAACAAGGAGACCACGGCAGAGGATGTGGAGGCCTTGACTAACTCAGCAGACGGTGAATGAGAGGAGCCAATGGATTCAACAGATATTTAGCACATAAAACCAACAAGGTTAGGGGGCCAACTGTTTAAAGGGCAACAGAGAGAGGAATGAGTCAGGGACTATAGTATCATTGCCCTAATTACAGAGTGCTTACCAAGTGCTAGAAGTGTTCCAAGTGCTTTACGTGGATTATCTCATTCAACCCTCACAACAGCCCTGAGGTCCATACTATTATCAATTCCATTTGACAGATGAGAAGAGAGGCACAGAGAAGTTACATAACTTGCCCAGGGGCACACTGCTACTAAGGGTTGGAACTGGGATTAAACTAGAAGCTGAGTTTGTATCCACTACGTTATTCCTGTCTTAGTTTTCTACCTTGAGTTATTAGGTAATGTATCGGTTAATTTCTGTAGCTTATAACAAAATACCTGAAACTGGGTAATTTATAACAAGAACAGAGATTTATTTGGCTTATGATTCTGGTGCGGGCCTCGGGATGCTTCTACTCAGGGAGGAAGGCAGCCAGTGGGTGCAAGATGACATGGCCAGAGGAATCGAGAGACAAACCAGCTCTCTTGGGAACTAATAGAGAGAGAACTCACTCACTACGCCCCCTCCCCTATGTGGGGAGTTAATTTGTTCATGAGAAATCCGCCCTGCATGACCTAAACAGCTCCCAATAGTGCTACATTGGAGATCAGATTTTAACATGAGCTGGGGGGGGGCGGGGGGCAACATATCCAAACTCTATCGGGTAATCAGTCTATTAACCAAAATGGAAAAAACGTGAGAAGTATGTATCCCTCCCCACTGCAGCCCAAACACAAACTGATAGGTGAGGGGGGCGGGAACATGATTCTTTCAGTTTGGGACACTCTGAATTTGAAATAATAGGTGGAAATGTGGGTCTGAAGTTTGAAGTAGAGATCTCATTTTATAGATGAGGATACTGAGGTGGAGGAGTTACCGTTCAACCTCCTTCTGAAAGCTTTGATTGGGCAGCCAGAACTTGGGGTTTTGAGAGAAGAGAGAAATTTTTAATGACAGCTGAAGAAATCTTTCTAAGGATATTGGGGGCTACATAAAGTTTGACTAATGTAGGAGTCTCCTGAGGGAGGTAGAACATTTACTTTGGAGATACTGATGTGATCCGATTTCCAATGAAAACCTTCCTCAGTAGAGTGCTTTATTGTTACAGAAGAAAATATAACTCTGACCTTTGTCTCTGACCTTTCCCAGTGCAACCTTGGAGGTAGATTTTGATAATTTGCAAGGAATTTGCTATCTTGCTCCTCTTGGGTCAGCCTCTGAATTCTTGTCTTCTACCTCGAGTCATCCTTAAAATAAGGGTTACCTCAAAGACCCTCCCTGTTTGTTTTGTACCATAAGCAAGTGCTAGCCAGTTCATGAACTTCAAACATGATTACCATTGAATCGTATGCATTCTGTGAGCTTTCAATCCCTTTCTTATGAGCAAATAAACCAAACCTTTATTATTACTATAAGGGCCTCAACTATTTTTAAGAGTAAACAGAACCTGTTTTATTGGTTTAGTGTCTCCTCCTCTCTCATTACCAAGTGGTATAATAATCCTATTCTTCAGCATCAGCCAGCTGAGTTTGAGAGCCAAGGGAGCTTTACAAGTGAGGTGTCCAGAAACATCCACCTCCACATTTGTAGACCACCTACTGACTGACCCCACCAGTTGGTATCACTCACCTGCACAGAGAGGCTTGGGGCACCCTGAATGACACACTTCCACTTTAAAACCAGGTGTGTTGCTGTCATGGGAAATCTAATTCCATTCCGAGGGCGCCATTACTGGGAGGTGGAGGTGAATGAGCGTTTGGACTACACAGTTGGTGTGGCCTTTGAAGATGTCCCTAAACAGGAGGACCTGGGAGCAAACTGCCTCTCCTGGTGCATGAGGCACACATTTGCATCATCAAGGTAAAGTAAAATCTGGATACCTGAGATTAAAATTTGTTTTTGAATTATTAGAGCAAGAGGTTCTTATTAACAATAATTAAAGCCCACATTGTTTTATAAAATATTTTAATATATTTAATGAGTTGTTGCCAGCCACTTTTTCTAAAGTCCAAATGAAAAGAGAAAGAGCAGCTTTTCTTTGAGATGAAAACAGCTAAAATTCATGGAGAGTTCATTACACTGTTCCACACTTTTACACGCATTGTCTTGTTTACTTCTCACAATTATATTATCCCACTTTAAAAATGAGGCTATGCCTCACAGCAGTTAGATAATCCACCCAACATGGATTCAGAGCTTGGACTCAAACCCAGGCAGTCTGGCTCCAAATACTGCATTCTTAATCACTAAGTGATTGATTTTTCATTTATGCTCAGCTTCAGTGTTAAATGGACACAGTCTGATTTGAAGTCCCAACTCCACCTTTTTAAGTAAATGTGAGCAAGAGGCTTAAGGATTATGGCTAATTCTGGTTTGCTTCTGCTGTTGAGCACTCTGTTTTTGCACATGGAGTAATTCCATAAAGCTGGGGGAGGTGGGGAACCCGTAAAGCTCAGGCCAATGGACAAAATTTTCAGACTGAGAAGGCCATGGTTACAACCTTCCTTCACCTCAAAAACTGCAAACACACACACACCACTGCTTTCCCAACACCCCTTGTAATATGGGGTCTCTGGCCCTTCTTGGCTTGATGAATCCTGTCAGTGTTCATCTAGTGTTCCAGAACACTACGTTCTCTGCCCATGTCCTCCGTCATGGTTATTTAAACATTATTCATCATGCCCAAGCATAAGTGGGAGACCAACTTCCCCCCCCTAAGAGATTTAGACTATAATCCTTCTACTAAACCTCAGACCCAGTCTGGGGAACACAAGACTTGCCGTGCACTGAGCCAGATACTTTATTTGGGGATCCTGCCTGAAGTAAGACTAAAGATCAAAGTCCCTTTTTAGAAAGGTAAGAACAAGGGGCAGAGTAAAACCGAGGGAGCTAAAGGAAGCCCGGAGTCTCTGCACAGTGGACGAGTGTGGGGATTAGAAGAAACTACAGAAGAGGGGTGGAAATAATGGGACAGAAGAATGACAAAGGGAGGGCAAAAGCGATGGGCCCAATGCCAGAGCTAGAGCAGAAGTTTCTTGCAGTCACATCTTTAGAAGACGTAGGGGTGTGCGTGTGTGTGACAAGTGCAGGATGAGGATGAGGTATTCTAGGATAAAGTCTCCTAGCAGACTCGTACTTTTTGGTTCATAGTATTAGACTCTATTGGGGTGGGAGAGAAAGTAGAGGGAAGGACTCATTTAGCTTCTTGTGGCTGCTTAGTTAAAAGAAGCTAAGGGGACAATAAGGTGAATTGGGATGGAGACAGGCTAGCTTATGTGCCCAGCCCAGCAGTCTGGCATGCAGAGCTCTTCAACTGTCTGCAGATAGCAGGATTAGGAAATTCCTGTAGTTGGTTCTGGCGTCAGCCATTTTTCAAAGCACACAGGATACAGAGCATGGTTAAAGGGTGTTAGTACTATATGACACTGATTAGTGACAGGCCCACCGGGTGCCCCATTCACTCTGAGAGTTTAAGAACTGGATATCTTTGAGTGCTTGTGCACAGAAGGGCTTATACCAAAAGGCCCGTTTTATCACATGAAAGATCACGGGGTTCCCTGTTTCAACTGTCTTTATTACAAAGAATTTACACATCTGAGCCTTGAAATCCAAATGTTTAAAATGTGTTCTATCTCTATGCTAATTTTGATGCAATATGAGTTCATGACACTGTATGTAAATTTCCTAGGTTAAGAGATTGCTCAAGAACAAATGGAGTTTGAAAATGTGTTTCTTAGGACAAATTTTAGAAAAGAGATATAGTTTAGAGAGTATTGTTTTGGAAATGGCCTGTTACTTTGGTAGTCATTTAATATAAGAAAATAAAATCATAGGAGTATGGATAATATTAGTATGAAATATTCTATAAATAGCTCACCTACAGAATTTCTGAGGCTTTTTATCATTTAATTTTCAGGCATAAGTATGAATTTCTGCACAACGGGACAACTCCAGATATAAGAATAACAGTTTTCCCCCAAAAGATTGGCGTTTTATTAGACTACGAAAATTCAAGGTTGTCATTTTTCAATGTGGACACTTCTCAGCATCTATACACATTCAGTTGTCAGCTTCACCGATTTGTGCATCCCTGTTTTTCTTTGGAAAAGCCTGGGCGTCTAAAGATACATAATGGTATCCCAATGCCAAATCATGTCACTTTCTATTAGACCACTTTGATGTCGTTTCCTGTCTCTCTTCTGTACCTACCCCTCTCTCAGCCATTTATGCCTCAGCTGGCTGAACTTTGCATTCAAGCACCACGTGCCCAGCACATGTTAAAACCTGGCAGACTGATGTGCTGGCACTCACTTCACCTGACCCAGACTCTAGTCCTGTGCACTGCTGCCTGGCGTGGCCCTAGGGTAGTCATTACCAGGCTCAGCTATAAAGTGAGGGCTCACACTAAATGAACCCAAAGGTCTATCAAGTTGTCAAATTGTATTTGTCTATTTGTATTTATGCAAAGTATCTTGAGTCTCAAGGCCTACAGAGCTTGGGGAAGGGAGAGAGAAGTCTTAATGGCTCCAACAGCCCCAATACACTCATGACATTTCATGAGTCAGCCAAGACAGACTTGAGAAAGCAAGAGGCTGTCCACAGAGAACCAAAGAAGCCATGTGCCTGTCTCAATGCTTTCTATGCTCCTGTTCTCCCAATAGTTAGAAGCACTGTGGTGAGGTTCCTCCCACTGTACACTCTTTATAACACCCTTTACTTTAACTGAACTGCTTTCATCTCCTACTGAACTCTTCCTACTTTTAGTAAACAGCCGCTCGGATCCCCAAATTAACCACTCACCATGACAATTTAATAGCTCATTACATACACATGCCCGCCCTGCTAAGCTGGATCACCTACCATGAAATAAGGAAGGTACAGCAGATGTAAGCACAGAAATGGCTCAAGTTATAAACAATTAAAATATACATATGTGTATATTCAAAAATGTTCTCAGCTACTGAAGTAAAAACTACTGAGTAGGAAATATGATACCACAGATAAGACAAGTCTGAATTCAGGCTTTATGGAGTACTTCACATGTAATATGAACATGGGTAAAGGGATTAAAAACTCCACACCTATAAGGTTTTGATAAAATTTTTATTTGACCAAGAAAGAACTGTCTAAAATTTTCTTTGACATTTAAAATCCACTTAATTTAAACAGGGCAGATAACCAACTTCAAGTATCACAATTATTTAGCATAAAGAACATTTAAACATCTTCCTCATCTTCTACAATAAGAAAAAAATAAGTCTAGAACAGAACCAAAGAAAACTTTTGTTTTTTGTAAAATATTCCAGTTCCTTAAAATACCATGAACAATCTGCCAAAACTAAATTTGAACAAAAGGCAAGATTTACCTCAAGGTCATGTTCACCTGCAACCTGCTGATAAATCTGTTAAAAAACAAAATAGAAAAAGATTTTTTAAAAATTAGACTATTGTAGCCACAATCCCTTATACTGGGCAGTTGAAACAAAAGACATCAAAATCTGTTCTTTTCTAAGCTTTACCTATTACTTTACGACTCTTGAGCTTTGGCTTCCCCACCCTAACAAAAGGGAAAGAATATGTAAAACAACCATAGAATCTTGATGTAAACTAACATGGGTTTGGTAATTCAGAATGTTCAGAATTTAACGCACCCTTATTAGATGGCATTGGAAAGTTGGCTAGAGATTTGGAATATAAAATCATGTTGATTTCTGGTAAAATTAAATTGCTTTTTATTTAGAAAAGTGTACGTTTAATAATTGACTTCCTGCTGGCTCAAACAATGCACAATCACTTGTACACATCCAATAAAAGATTTCTGAAGCATGTACTTCATCGTCAGTATAAAGCACAGCAAATGCATAAGCACTGGAGCCTTTTTCTTAATACTTCTTATCCTCCAAAATTTGTTAAAGTCATAATCTTGCACACCTCACACGATGGAAGCTGCCCACAGCACAATTCACTGTGATATGGCATTCTGTAAATGAGACTATATTGGTCTCTATCCAAGGAGATTCCACTACCAGAAAACTTTCTAGACTATGAAGACTTCACTATAGGAAAAGTCCTCTCCTCAACTTACCAAAACACTTCTCCAATTTTCTAGTTACCTTCCTATCAGTTAGTAGAGTGCGATTCTCATGTGTTCACTATGTCTTTCTTTACCTTTCTCATCTAATATATTATTCCTATTTTCTATAGTAATACGATGGAAACTGTATAATTGCTGTTGGTAGATAAGTAGGTCTTGAATTTATTTCGCAAACAAGACCTGTTCTATCTACCTTTTCATTTAGGAGGCTGAAAGCAGAGTCAGCTTGACTTCAAGGACTCTATTTTCTTAGTCTCCAGCACCAGATTTTTTTTTCTTTTTTTTAAATTTTTTATAATTGCTGTTGGTAGATAAGTAGGTCTTGAATTTATTTCGCAAACAAGACCTGTTCTATCTACCTTTTCATTTAGGAGGCTGAAAGCAGAGTCAGCTTGACTTCAAGGACTCTATTTTCTTAGTCTCCAGAAGAACATGACCAAGTCCAGCTTTTAAAACACTGTCCTTTGGGGCCGAGCCCCTGGCGCACTCGGGAGAGTGCGGCGCTGGGAGCGCAGCAACTCTCCTGCCGTGGGTTTGAATCCTATATAGGACTGGCCGGTGGCTCACTGGCTGAGCACGGTGTGGGCGACACCACACCAAGGGTTGCGATCCCCTTACCAGTCCACCAGATTTTTTTTTAAAAAAAAGTTCTATCAATTTACACTTTCATCATCAGTATAATAAGGTTTGATCGAGTTTTGATGAATGAGTTGGAGTTTACCAAGCAAATAAAAGAACAAAGAGCATGTTTAAAGGCAAGACTGATAGAAAGAACAGTAAGCAGCTCAGGGAACTAGGCTGGGGTCTGGACACCAGTTAGGGGGCAATTAATCAAAGGAGAAGGAGGCACTGAGGATAGGTAGAAGATGGATTAAGGAAGCCAAAGGATTAATAATCTCTACCATCTATTGAGAACTAATTTGTGCCAGGTATTTTGCTAAGCAGTACATACTGTGCATCATTTTAATCCTCATAACAAAGAAAGAAATACCCCCAATTTACAGGGAACAAAACTGAACCCAAAGATATTAACCTGCCCAAGGGCACACAGTTTGGAAATGACAGAACTGGAACCCATCTCTGATTTCCTCTGACTACCAAACCTCAGTTTTTTAATTCTTTTTTTATTTTTTATTTTTCGTGGCTGGCCAGTATAGGAAACCAAACCTTTGACCTTGGTGTTACAAGCCTGCATTCTAACCAACTGAGCTAACCAGCCAGATCAAGCCCCTGTTCTTAACCACAGATCTACAGGGCCTTGAAAGAATGAGGAGCAAGGCTTTAGGGTATTCAATATGGGAAAGGGAGAGAGATTTGGGGGAGACTAGAAGATAGTGATGCATAGGCCTACAGAGCCCTGACCCTGCTGGAATGTACCCATGACATGCTAATTTAGCAGCCAAGACTCTGTGACCTAGAGTCTAGGGCATGAGACAGCAAAAGATTGCCTTTTTCATTCTGGCAGGGCTGAGTAAAGGAGCAAATTTACAAGATCTTTTCCTTTCATCGCTGAGCAATAACTATACCTGAGATTGGAAATGAGGTTTTCAAAGGTCCTCAAAATAAAAAAAATTTTTTTTTTCCTTTTCTTCCTCTTCCAACTTGTGAAAAGGGACTTTAGCCAGAGAATGGCCATCTTTGTGCTAAGAGCAGGCGGAAAACTTCAGTTAGGCATTAATTTAGGAACTGGTAATCATCAATTCCTTGAGATTAGAAGAGGAATAGAGAAACTGACCAAAAGGCTGAAACTGCCCAGGGATGAAATCAGGCCCCAAAAGGATCCTTTTCAAAAGTTTATTTCTGTTTATCTCCCATTATACCTTCCTATGTTTATTTACTTAAGATGTTGTGCACCTACAATTAAGAATTGAAATTAAATTTTCTTGTTTTTCTTACCTTTCCTAATCAATTGCAAACAAAGGAATTCCTCCCTAGCTGATTATTAATTCACCTTCCTGCTTAAAGAAAAATTGCATCCATGTTTGTTAGAGATAAGAGTCAGATATTTTTATGTTCCAGTGATGCTGGACTGAGGTTATTGTCTTTGAGTTCTCTGTAGGAGATAAAGACTCTGACCCTGAGATAACATCAGGGGCTTGAAGCTGACCAATTCACCAATTGCAGACTCCACGATGCCAAAGTGCCCAGACCATCATGGACCACAACATGTGACTCAGACCCTCTGCTGATTCTGTGACCAGCTTCCCTCTTTGCCTGCAGGATGAAACCCCTACCTCACCTTCCTGCCTCTTCCCTTTTATAAGCCCCAGAACAGGCATCAGAAGGCGGGATAATTTTAGCTTGGTCATCCCACAGATGCCTGTTATCTGAATAATGCTTCCAATCTTTGCACCAACTTTTGGACTTTTGGGTCATTTTTTTTTAGTATGAGAAGGCAGCTGAGCCTGTTGCCGATAACACTTACTCATTTATATCAGTAGCAGATATTGAAGTTAAGCTCATTGGAGATAGGCTCCTAAGAGCTATAGCTTCCAAAAGCTGTTCAAAATCAATTGTCCCTTAAAAGAACTGAAACGTAAAATATTCATCCATTTCTGCGTTGGGTATCAGCTGTGAAATCTGAATGATAAAACAAACAGAAAAATCTAGAGCTGTTTTGAAAGGATTACAGTGAATTTCTGGTAACAGATTTTAATCTCAGATGCACAGTGCTGCTATAGCTAAACAAACTCTTCTCATGTTTTTTTTGCTGTGCTTCCGTAGAATCAGGTTATTTAGTAGCTTTGCAAAGGCTTACTTGAAGACTGTGAATTGGCCTCAATACTGTAGACTAAGAGATAAACGTCTGTCCTGGGGTATTGTCACCAAAGGAAGACTATTATAGAATAATAATGGTTGCCATATTTGGTAGTTCTTAAAGTCCCAAATCCTTTTGTATAAATATTCTTAACAAAGAATAGTGTTCTCCACCCTGCTGAAATGTATTTTATTCCAAGTATACTAATTAGAAAGAAATTAAAAACAAGCAAAAAACAAACTAGGGTTAAAAACATGGGGGTGGGGGTGGGGGAGAGGGCAGTGATCAGAATTGGTATTACCCAAGGAAAACGCATT